GGGAGGCTGGCGTGGAGCAGCCGTCCCTCCGCGCCCGTGGGGAGCTGGCGGTGAGGCTGGGGGCTCCCCTTGCTGTCCTCGCCCCCCTGTCCCGGCCACCATGGCGCAGCCCGGGGACTGAGCCAGACAGAAAAAGGAGCCACGGGAAACTCGCTCCCGCGTGGGTCCCCCCCAGCAGGTGAGGGGCGTCGGGTGAGGGGACACGCGGGAGCGGGATGGGGGGCGAGGATGGAGACACCCCCCCCACCACCACCACCCACTGCCCCGCGTGGAGGGGCTGGTGTCTCTCTGCGTGGGGGGCTGCTGCCACCCACCCCCCCGCCGTGGGATGTAGGAGGGGGGAGCGAGCTCTGACTCCACGGTGATGTGAGACCCCCCCTGCCGCGGGTTACACGGGTGATGTGTGTGTGTGTGTGTGTGTGTGTGTCCCCTCCGCCGTGGGAGTGGGACCAGTAGGTGAGGATAGTCCCTGTCCAGCCGGCTCCCAGTGGGACTGGTTTTAACTGGGGGTGGTGGTAGGAGCTGGGGGCCCCCGCGGAGCACAGCACCCATGTGCTGACAGCGAGGGGCGCAGGTGATGAGTCTGGGAGCGCTCAGCAGGTCTCACTCAGTGGGTGATTTCAATTCCTTCCATGCCAGAGCCGAGCTGGGGGCTGATTCCCCCCCCCCCCCCCAGCTGGGTCTTATGATGAAACCTCGGTGGCAGTGGAAGCACAACTCCCCCGGGGCTAACGGTAGTCACTGTGGGCACAGACCTGTGCCTGGGACTAGCCTGGCTCAAGCCCCACAACCAGAGGGGCAGTGACAGCAGGATCAGGCCCGTGGGGAGAGCGGGTCTGGCCCCCGGGCAGGGTGCTGGGGTAGCCAGAGGTGGTGTGGGTGCAGGGGTGCCCCAAACCTTGGGGGTGAAAGAGGTCCTGGAAGCTTGTGTGCCACCCCTCATCTCCCCAGGGACATCCACGATGGCCACCGAAGCTGGACGTTGGCATGTGGCCAAGCACGGGTGGGTGGTAGGACCCCCCTCACCTCGGCCGGCGAGCAAGGAGTGGCTGCAGGGATGTGGTGGTGGGCCCGTGGTCCTGCCCAGCTTGCCCACCGGCTGCTTCTCCCTGCCTTTGGGGCACTTCCAAGCCCAACTGGGGCCACGGACGTGTCAAAAAGCCACCTGGTGTGACGTGGTGGGCAGCTCCGCCGAGCGAGAGGGAGGGATCCCCTGGCAGCAAGTCTTTGTCCCCAGCACCCCAGGTCACGGTGCTGGAGCTGCATAGAGGATTAGCCAGGATCGGGCCCCTTGCCACCTCAGGGTACCCCGTAGCCGCTCTCACGTGCCCGTTGTGCTCCGCCAGCAGCGGGAGGATGGAGAACAAAGCCATGTACCTTCACACCTTCAACGAGAGGGAGAGCGGCTCCGTCTTCGAGGAGCCCTTCGAGGGAAGGAACCTCTCCAAGCTGAACCTCTGCGAGGACGGTGAGTAACAGCCTCCAGGGGCGGCTTTGAACCCGGTGGCGGAAACCTGGGGGGGTTCTCGGGGTGGCGGTGGGGGGCAATGACACACAGGGGGATGTGGGAGCTTGGATTGCTTCAGCTCCAGCTGCAGGTCCCCGAGCTGAGGGGCGATCCCTGTCCTGGGAAGGGGGGGATGCCCGGGGTGAGGGTGCTGTGGTGGAAGAAGCACCGTGAGGAATGTAGAAACTTCTTCTCAGTGGGAGAAACGCTCGGGGAATCCCCTGCAAGGAGGTTTCTGTGTGTCCCCTGTACCCCCCAATTTCTGATCTGGTGGGGGCGTGACCGAGCCAGGGCACCTCTCAGGGTGCCCAAGATCTCGTTCAGTCCTGCCTCTGACCCAGGAGGTTGTGCTCCAAGGACAGTCACTTTCCTTGCTAAAGGTGGATTTTTGGAGTTTTGGTGTGTTTTGTGGTTTGTTTGTTTTATTTTTTTTTTTTCTCCTCCAAGCCTCTGGCTCTCTCCATGTGGCCTGGTCCGGAGAAGCCCTGCGGTGGGGAGGGCAGCCCAGGGCTGTGCAGCAGGACACGGCAGGACCTGCTCGCACCTCCCACACATCTTAGCTGGCCCCTACCTCCCCCGTGGACTTGCTGAGCTCTTTCTCCTTCACTCTTGCCCCACGAAACACTGTCCACATTTCGCCAGACTTGGTCCCCACGCAGACAGCCCTGATGAATTTTTCCCTGAGATCTTTGCAGCTTGGGTAGGAGAAGCCGGAGTGGCAGTGTTGGGTGCTCAAGCAGAGATGTGGGGTCCCCTTTGCTGGCACCTTTGCTGGGAGAGTTGTGGGGCTACTGGGGAAACTGGTCTTGTTCTGAGCAGGCTTCCCAGCACTGCTGCTCCCTGGCCTCAAGCACGGGATCGGGGTGATGGGGGACTCACCTTCCCGCTTTTAGGCACGTGGGGTATCCCCAGGGTGTGACGGAGAGCCCTGGCATGGGGTAGCCACGTGTGCCAGGCTGGGCCACATCCAGCCCTGGCCGGTTCCCCCCAAGTTGGTGTCCCCTTACTCTCCGCAGCGCGTCTGCTCCTGCCTCTGCTCACCTCCCTGCTGCCGGCAGCAAATCCAGCGCTCGCTCCACCTGCCTGCAGCAGAGAGAGGGACAGATCCTGCCCAGGGGCCATCCCCGTGCTCTGCAAACGTGGCAGGGGGGTGCTGGAGCCTGGAGGGAGCGATGCTGGGAGAGATGTGAGGAGAGAGTTGGTGTCTTCCACGCCCAAGGCCACCGTTCCCAGCAGAGACCTTGCCCTGGGGTGCAGGGAGGGTTCAAGGTATCTCCCTGGCTTTGGGATTTTTGTGGCAGGTTGCCCTGGATCTCTCAGGGTGATTCTGCTCATCCCTCGCCCGATGCAGAGGTGCCCCCCCCCCCCCCCCCCC